AGGCGGACCACTCCCACCAATCGCCCACAGCCATTGTCTCGGTTTCAGTTTTTCATCCAGTTGATCAGGAGGAATCATTCTTTCTCCGGTGGCCAGGCAGAATCTGCAATATTTTGTTACTTTTATTTTTTATAGTCATCAGACATAATTTATTTTTATTGAAAATGTATTTTTTATTGAAAAAAATTTCCACCTCCTCCCCGCCTCCCATTTCCCTCCCCCTTCCCTTACTGCTCTCCCCCTCCCCCCACTCTTCTCTCCTCTCCCTGTCCCCTCTCTTCTCCCTCTCCCTCTATAGTCCAAAAAGCAGTCACAGTTCCCTGCCCTGTGGGAAGTCCAAGGTCCTCCTCCCTCCATCCAGGTCTAGGAAGGTGAGCATCCAAACAGGCTAGGCTCCCACAAAGCCAGTACATGCAGTAGGACCAAAACCCAGTGCCATTGTCCTTGGCTTCTCATCAGCCTTCATTGTCCGCCATATTCAGAGAGTCCGATTTTATCCCATGCTTTTTCATTCCCAGTCCAGCTGGCCTTGGTGAGCTCCCAATAGATCAGCCCAACCGTCTCAGTGGGTGGGTGCAGCCCTCGCGGTCCTGACTTCCTTGTTCATGTTCTCCCTCCTTCTGCTCCTCATTTGGACCTTGGGAGCTCAGTCCAGTGCTCCAATGTGGGTCTCTGTCTCTATCTCCATCCCTAGCCAGATGAAGTTTCTATGGTGATATGCAAGATATTCGTCAGTATGGTTATAGGATAGGGTCATTTCAGGTTCCCTCTCCTCAGCTGCCCAAGAAACTAGCTGGGGACATCTCCCTGGACACCTGGGAGCCCCTCTAGAGTCAAGTCTCTTGCCAACCCTAAGATGATTTCCTTAATTAAGATATATACTTTTAAACTGACTTTTGTGTCCAACACTTGGCACTGCCATTTTGCCACAGAAGCCAAGTACTCCCACTCCCTTGACTAATTCTTGACCATTTTCAGTTTTACTGGTTGTCTGTAGAGAATCAGTCTGTCCATGTCTGTTAGTTTGTAGTTTTGTTTAGCAGCTCAATTGTTATTCTGTGTTTCATAGTACAAAAGAGAGAGAGAGAGAGAGAGAGAGAGAGAGAGAGAGAGA